CTACTGCCCAGTATTACTATGCTATGGTGCAAATTTGGTCTCTGGAGGTCCCGCTTCGTTGGAAGCGGACACTGCTTCTCAGCTTCGTGCAGGACGCGGCGCTGGCTGGCTGGATTAGAACCAATGCTGCTCACGCCTAGACATCATCGTGAACTCGACTCGCTCCTGGCTCGGCATGGGAGGAGGGCGCTCCAGGGGAAAGCGGTGGCGAAGGTGGGGGATCGTATTCGATCGTGGTCGGACAAGCGCGTGATGCAGCATTGGCGTCTAGCTAGCTCGGAGACGGAGATGCTGGTCATGCGTCTTCTGAAGTCGCTAGCGTCTCCGTGGCTCCGGCGTGCGCAAGATGATTTTGGCCGAGCGTCTGAACAACTGGGCGACGGCGGAGTTTGTGCGCACCTTGCTCGCTGCCCAAGCGACCTCGTGAATGAAGAACATAACGGGTTCTGGTCAAGAGTTGGCTTTACGGAGATCAGAGCCCGCGAATTGTCTGTCGTTCATCCCCCCCTCGAACCTCACAGAACAGGAGATCACGGAGGACCCCGAGGCTTTCTTGGAGTACCCCTGGCAATGTGAATGGATGGAGGAGGAAGGTGGCACATGTGGGAAGACATTCCAAACGAGGAGGGATCTCGTGAATCACATGCGACGGAAACACCGAGCATGCAAAGTATGTTCGACAGTTACGCCGACTAACACATGCACTGTGTTCCGAAGGGTGCTCGCCAGCCGGTCATGTGCATACACGCACCGCCAGCGAGCCCCCATCAATGGAGCATGCCCGTCCCGAGGTTCGCCTACACTCACGGAAGCTAAACCTCCCACCTCTTTGGCATGCGTTCCCTGCGAGTGTCACTCGCGTGGTCTGGACGACCCCTGCAGCCATTTGGCCACGAGTCATCTTCCAGTGGAGATCGACCCCTCACCGCCAGGAGTATAGATCGGTGCATTTCTCGAGGCGAGGCCGCGGCAGATGAGCGCGGAGGCGGCCGCGGACTTGCCGAGGCCGACGCGGACGAGGGACCCGTCGTCCGCCCCGCTCGCCGAGAAGGGGCCGCAGCGCCGCCAGAGACGAGGCGCGCAGGGCGGCAGGGGGCGCAGACGCGTTGCCGACCCTGGTGCTGCCGCTCGCCAAGCTGGTGCTCACGGATAGCCGCGCGCTGGCGGACCTCGGCAGCACGGTCTGCAGGACGTGCGACGGCAGTGCGGACACCGGCTCCGCGACGCAGAACGGGCAGGCAGGCCAGGACTGCGACGACCAATCGCAGCTGCTGAAGCAGAAGCAGAAGGACGGCGGGGTGGTAGACTACGCAAGCAGGGGCCCTCCGTTCGTGGCGATCTTCATGCAGGTGTTTCACTGGGCAGCCAAGCTGGCCAGCAAGCCCGACACCAAGCAGGAGAAGTGGACGGCAGCAGTACGGGAGCCCTGGACGGACAAGCTGGCCAAGATGTCGATCCAGGAGGTTGGGGTGCATGTGCTACACTGGCAGTGGAAGAGGACCACCGCCAAGATAGAGGGCAACGCGAGGGGCCGCCTGATCTACGCGATCGACTGCACGAACGCGCTGGGCCCGACCCTGATCGGCATCGTGGGGGACATTCTGCAGAGAACAGGGGCCGAGAGGCGTATTGGCCTAGCCCCGCGGGGCCCGCTGGAGCGGGACGCAGCAACGCTGCTGGCGGAGCTCAGCGGCAAGTGAGTGAACCAGGGAAGGCTAGCGCCACAGCCTCAGAACAAGTAGCAGGTAGCAGCAGCAGCAGCAGCAGCAGCAACAACAGCACGCCTCCGACTAATTCGAACTCGTTTCGCCGTGAGCCCTTGGATCCCCGAGGTGTCAGAATCGCGGAGAAACCTCGGGGAAGTTCGAGGTTGGCGGAGCTAATTCGGCGAGGTTTGATTTCTTCTGGAATTGTGGGGTTTCGGCCCCCTCCCGCCCCCACGGCCTATAGCCCAGGAGTTTCCACCACCACCACGGTGCAGAGTGAGGGGAGATCTTCGAGGCAGAAAGGCACGGGGAAGGGAAACCAGGGAGAGGTCGGCAGCAACCCTAGGTCCCTAAGGCGGGCCCCTCGTAAGCTGCGTGCTGTCCAGGGAGTGCTCGATGGGGCGGTGCAGCGTCCGTCGTGAGCTATGGGCCGCACTTTCAAGGTTTGGCGAGTGATTCGCCCCCCAGAGTACCCCCCTGCACTTTGAAGCCCGGTATTTGTTCGCAGGCGGCAGGCAGACGTCAGAGTTGAACTCCAACGGGCCCGATCCCGATCTGATCCCGATCCTCCACCTCCGCCTCCTTCTCCTCCTCCTGCTCCTTCTCCTCCTCCTCCTCCTCCTCCTCCTCCTCCTCCTCCTCCTGGGTGTTCGTTGGCATACTGTGAAAGGTTCCCTCTGGAGGCTGTTTCAACGCCTCCTGGGGGTCGTTTGGGGGCCTGTTGGGGGCTATTTGGGAAGCTCTTGTGGCCTCGTGGGGGCCTCTTGGGGGCCTCTTGGGGCCGAGTGCCCGAAAAGTACGTTCGGGTACCCCGTCTGGACCCCCTCTTGGAGCCGTCTTGGGGGCCTCAAGGGCCGTCTTGGGGCCGTCTTGGACCCTCTTGGGCCGCTTTGGGGCCGTCTTGGGAGCCTCTTTGGTCGTTCTCCGGGCGATCAGAGGGGCCCCTCGGGAGGTCTTGGAGCGTCGGGAAGCCGAAAAGGAGAGAACCCCCAAAATCTTCAAAAACCATAGGGGAACCAATGAGTTGTGCCTTTGGGGGCTCTGTGGGGATGCATCTTGGAACCCTCCTGGGGCGTCTCGGAGGCCTCCTGTACCGTCTTGGAGGCCTCCGAGGCCGTCTTCGAGGCATCCCCGGCGAAGGTGGAAGCCTCGTGACCCCTCTGGAACCGTCGTGGAGGCCATCTTGGACCGCGTTGGGCTATCGTGAGGCCTCTCGGGAGGAAACTTGTGCCATCAGATCAGTGGCTCCGCCTGCCGTCTCCTGGCACTCCCCCGCAAGTTTGATTCCTCCTGGCTAACGGATCGCACGCTACGCGTGCTTTCCGTCATCTGGGCCTCCCGAGGCCAAGCCCTTCACACCGGGGAGCCCACCATTTCCACCCCCCTGGCATTTTGCAGCCGATTCGCCAAATTCGCTGGCCCCTCGCCCCTCGTCCCACCAGGCGCCGAAATCACCAGGCTTTGTGAATAGTGGCCCCTGGTGATTTTGGTGAATACATACCATGCCTCATCCTCATGTGGCCCCTGGTGATTTCTCCCGAACAGCGGATCGCGACGCTGCGCGCGTTTTCCGTCATCCGCCGCCCCCCGTTGGCTTGCCACGGGGCGCACGGCGTGCCGGACGTCCGGGAGGCTGTTGGCTCTCTCGTCGAAGAACTCCTCTTGGGGCGTCGGCCCAACCCGCCGGCCACTGGGGAAGCCCGGGAACATGTGCACTTCGCCGGTCCTCCCCTCCAGCCGAGATGGCCTCCAAGACGGCTAAGACTGCACCCGAGACGGCCAGAATTGCCCTATATGGACTCCAAGATGCCTCCAAGATGGGTAGGATGGCCCCAGGAGAGCCCAAGATAGCCCCAAGATGGCCTCCAAAACGATCCCAAGATGCCTCCAAGATCGTCAAGATTGTCCAAGAGGTCCCAAGACGGCCCAAGAAGCGCCCAAGAGGCCACTAAGACGGCCCAAGAGGCCTCCAAGAGGTCCTCGAGGAAGGCCCGAAGGGGCCCGAATCATTAATTTCCCAAGGGCCAAGACGGCACAAGAGGCCCCAAAGATTGCCCCAAGATCGCCCAAGAGGCCTCCGAGACGACCCCAGGATTGCCCAACAGGCTCCCAAGACGGCTCCCCAAAAAGCCCTAAGACGGCCCTGGAGGCCTCCAAGACGCCCAAGTTGCACCCGCATGATCCTGAATCCCTCCAAAACACCAAGCCTGGTACGTTGATCATGGGCATCAGTGAAACGCTTGCAATGTTTGAAAACAAATGCACGCGGCGCTAAGGCGAGAACCACATGTTGAAAAGGAACCGCCCTCAATCCGTGAAGCTCTTGCACATGCCTAAAAGGAATGTGCGGGGCGCTAAAGCGAGATCCACAATTTGAAATCGGCCCGCCCTCACTCCGTGAAACTCTTGCAAATGTCTAAAACGAATGTGCGCGGCGCTAAAGCGAGAACCACATGTTGAAAACGACCCGCCCTCAATCCGTCAAACTCTTGCAAATGTTTAAAGCGTATGTGCGCGGCGCTGGGGCGAGAGACACATTTTGAAAACGACCCGCCCTCCGTCTGTGAAGCTGTTGCCACTTTCTGAGATTCAGGATCATGAATGGTGAAGAAGTTTCAGGCGAAACGCCCGACCCGCCCTGAAAACTGTCCTCGGGGTGCGACAGGGAGAAGTTAGTTATATATAAGGAGAAGGAATTGACGGAGCGAGGAAGAGGGAGGAGGAGGAGGGAGGAGGAGGAAGAGGAGAAGGACGGACCGAGGAGCTAAGAGGGAGGAGGATAAGGAGGAGCGAGGAGGAGGAAGAGGAGCAGGAGGAGGAGTAGAAGGAAGAGGAGGAGGAGAAGAAGTAGGAGGAGGAGGAAGACAAGGAGGAGAAGGAGAAGGAGGAGGAGCAGGAGGAGGAGGAGGAGGAGTTCTGTGAGACATCTGCTCGGCCCAAAAGAGAAGAGGAGGACGAGGAGGAGGAAGAGGAGGAGGAGGAGGAGGAGGAGGAGGAGGAGGAGGAGAAGGAGGAGGAGGAGGAGGAGGAGGAGGAGGACGAAGCGGGGAGGGAGGAGAAGGACGAGGAGGAGGAGGAGGAGGACGAGGAGGACGGAGCGAGGAGCGAGGAGCGAGGAGCGAGGAGGAGGAGGAGGAGGAGGAGGAGGAGGAGCGAGGAGCGAAGAGCGAGGGGCGAGGAACGAGGAGCGAGGAGGAGGAGGAGGAGGAGGAGGAGGAGGAGCGAGGGGGAGGAGGACGAGGAGGAGGAGGAGCGATGGCGCGGTGGCGCGATGGAGCGAGGAGCTGGGCGGGCCTCGAGGCGCGCGCGCTCCTCGGCCTCCTGGCGCCGCTGCTCCTCGAGCTCCAGCCTGGCCCCGGGCGTGCGCGCGAGGCCGCCGCCCGCCCGCGTCCTTCTCGAGGCGCCCCCCGCGTCGGAGGAGAGACGAGGCATACTGATAGTACTACAACGTATAATGGTAAACTACATACGAATAGTACGAATAGGACGACATACTAGCAGTACTACAACTGCAATCAATGAGAATACGACAGATAATGCTAACAACGAGAACAATTACAATACCAGAGATGCGCACAACATTAATAACCGGCATGCGACGAGCAATACGAAGACGAATCGAACTACGAATGTTCATCCTATTAAGAAGAGGGCGACGAACCAGAAGCGGACAAACCAGAAGAGGAAGACGAACAACAATAACAACATGAGGAAACGAACAAAAAACATGATACTTACAAGAGTAACCGGAAGGCCGGGAGACTTCTGCGCCTTCTGAGAGGGCCCACCCCTTCCCGCCTTCCCGCCTCGCTCGCCACCCGAGGCAAGAACCGACGGCACGGCACCGAGAGGCCGGCAGAGCCCGGTGGCTCGGAGGCCGCGGGGAGGGCCTCGAGCAGGGGATCGGCTGCAGGATTCGTCTACCCCAGTACGGTGGGGGGCATTTCTCTCTCTTCGAGGGCAAAGTGCCCGTGCCCCAAAAAATCACACGTGCAGTGCTGCACTACGCACGCGAGGCCGCGCCGCTGCGGCCGCTCGGGACAGGCGAGCCGCCGCCCCGCGGGCACGCGGTGGGGGGCATTGGATAAGGAACCCTTGGAAAAGGAATCCAGCTGATGTTTGTCCATGGAAGGGAAAGGGATCCATTGGATAAGGAAGCCCATGGAACTCCTTGGACTCTTGGCCTTGGAAAGGAACCTTGGAAAGGAAACAAAAAGAAAGGACTCCTTGGCCTTGGATAAGGAACCCTTGGGAAAGGAATCCATTGGATAAGGAAGCCCGTGGAACTCCAGCTGATGTTTGACCATGGACATCACCGTCACTCTCCTCAGGTCAGGAATCCTCCGGGGTCTGAAACCTCCTGTGCACATTCCTTCACGACCGCCCCCACCGTACTCGAGGAGAACAGTCTCCGTGTTGGGAGGCAGGGGTTGGGAGGGCGAAGGGCATGAGCAACAGCATTCGGATGTAATGCGCGATGCCTTCGACCGCCTGCGGGTAATGCTGTCCTCGTTTCTCCCCACCCCGTCCTCCCAGCCCGACACCTGCCCTCCTGAAAACTGAGCTGCCCGTCGAACGCGCGACACATGCGTGGCAGGGGTGCCGAACCTGCAGGAGCCCGCGACGTCTCTCTCTTTCGCAGACTCGGCGCGTGCTCAGTCTTGGGGCGCATCGACTCTGCAGTCGACTTGGTGGTCTCCAAACCAGGTGGTGAGACACCCGGTGGTGACCCCGATTCCCCAAAGAAATAATTCTGGGTCACCACCGGGTTTGGGGACACGCGGTCGCCACGAGGTTTTGCGTTTCCTGGGCCAGCCAGCGCTCGAAAACCATTACCCGAATCGCCCAAAACTCACCACCGGGTGTTCTCACCACCACGTTTGGGGACCACCAGTCGACTTCCTGCTCCCAGGGCGGGCTCGGCTCCCGCCGGGGGAGGGCCCCGCGCCAGACCAGACCGCGCAGGGCGCAGGGGGGGACGCGGCGCCCGGCGGCGTCGACGGCGAGCATGCAGGCGACGGCGCCTGGCGATGAGACGGCAGCCTGCGCTTCTGGACGTGTGCCGCGCCAGCCTGTGCCGTTGCCGCTTTCGCAGACGGCCCCCGGAGGGAATCTGTTGACGACGAGGTTGACCCCGACCCCCTCGCGTCGTGGCAAGAATCACGGCGGGAAAGGTGTCGCAATGTTCGGCCTCCCGGGGCCCTTCCCGGGCCTCCGGACCGTCAAAAAACGACTCAGGATGAAAAACTGGTCCCGGGGAAAGTGTCCAGACCTCTGGAGGTCGCCATTGTGAACAAAAATCACGACGTCGGGTGCCTGGGGAGGATGTTGATGACGATGGTGATGACGACGCTGCTGATGATCATCGGCGGCAGGCCAAGGGGGGGCTGGGGCGAGGTGGTGGCCTTCTGAGGAAGCAGGGCCTTCTCCGACGGGACCCCTTGCTTGCAACAAGAAGCCTCATGCCCTCTTGGAGGCCCCCCCCCTCGCCCCACTACCTTCTCCGCGCCGCCGAGATGGCGACGACGACGCCCCCCTCGGTGGTCGGCCGGCATTGGGGCCATCTCTGACTCGGGCGGCAGGCGGCCGTCCAGGACGACACTGGGCTCCCTGGAGCGATGCCGACTGTGCGCAGCTGCTGGACAACAGATTCGGGCCCGAAAGGTCCCATGGAACCGCCAACATGCTGAGGAAACCATCGCGACACAACGACCCAGACCTCGGGCGCCGTGAGCGTTTTCGTGAATGCGGCGCTACTTACTCACTAGGAGGTCCCGACCCCTTCCCTCGGGCTGGTGCTCCGTCCCGTATCCGCTCTCGGCGGCCCCCGGGAGCCGAGGACAGACCACGGCGTCCGAACAGCACAGCGAACAGAGCCCACCCTGCCTGTTGCTCAGGTCGCTGAAGAGGTCCTGGGCCCCCAGCCCTCGACGTGAGAGACGACACGAGGGAGGGACCCACTCAGCGGGGGCCACGTCGAGCGAAACCGAGCTGCCCTGGGAGGGGTGAGCCATCCGGCCCCTTTATCGGCGATTCATGGGCGATTGGGGGTCGATCCGCCCCCCAGGAGCCCATCACCCCCCCCCCCTAGCGTTGCCCCCGGACTGTCGGGTCATAACTCGGCTTTCCGACGGCCGTCCGGGACGGTGTCTGGGCACCCTTGGCACGCCCTCGTCGGGGCGCAGCCGCCGGAAGGCCTCCCGAGGCCAGGGATCCGCCGCGAGCCCACGAAAGCGCCCGAGCTCCTCGAACCCCGAACCCGTTCGCCCCCCCCTGCGAGGAGGAGGAGGGGGAGGAGGAGGAGAAGGAGGAGGAGGAGGAGTAGGAGGAGGAGGAGGACGAGGAGGAGTGGGAGGAGGAGTTGGAGGAGTGGGAGGAGGAGGAGGTGGAGGTGGTGGAGGAGGAGGAAGAGAAGGAGGAGGGCGGTGCTGAGCCTATCCTTAGGTCGGACATGTCCCCCTACAGGCAGATGCTGGAAGAAACATACCAAATAGCCAACCGATCATCAAATATAGTCGAACGAGCACGAAACATCGTCACGAGACTGTTACTTCACTACTCTGCAACACTCCTCCTGTAGAGCGACATCCCCCCCCCCCCCCGGACGTCGCCCCTGATCGACCGCACCCGGGGACGGAGGGCCAGCGCCACCCGCCGGTCGCAGGCGAGGGGGCCGCGCGGGGCGCCCGCGGCCGGATGCGGCCTCTGGCGCTCCAGCTCGGCCATTCTGGCCGCCTTGATGTCCGCCTGGCGTCGTCGTCGTCGTCGTCGTCGTCGTCGTCGTCGTCGTCGTCGTCGCCGCCGCCGCCGCCGTCGCCGTCGCCGTCGCCGTCGCCGTCGTCGTCGCCGTCGTCGTCGCCGTCGTCGTCGTCGTTGTCGCCGCCGCCGCAGTCGTCGTCGTGGTCGTCGTCACTGACGTTGCCATCGTCGTCGTTCACCTCGGCCTCGTGGGCGGCGTCGCCGCCAGCTTAGGCTAGATTCGCCCGAGTCTCGATCCGCCCGGCTCGATTCGCCCAGCTCGCTCCGCCCAGCTCGATTCACCCGGCTCGCACCGCCCGGCTCGATTCGCCCAGCTTGATTCGCCAGGGCTTAGTTCGAGCGAGTCTCGATTCGCCCAGCTCCGCCTGCCCGACCCGAACCGCCTGTCGAGGCCCGCCCGCCCGACCCGACCCGCTCGTTCGGGCCCGCCCGCCGGACCCGACAGGCCCGTCAGGGTCCGCCCGCCTGCTCCTCCTTCCCCCCCTCTGGATCCGCCGCATGCCTTGCGAACCGAGCCCCAGCGAACCGAGCCCGCGCGAACGCAGCCCCAGCAGCGCACCGAGCCCCCGCGAGCCGAGCCTCGGCGAAGCGAGACTCCAGCGAACCGAGACTCCTTGCCTGGCCGCCGCCGCCGCTGCCCTCCCCGTCGTCAGCTCTCCCCTCCTGCTTCCCCCTCTCTCATCCTCCTCCTCCTCCTCCTCCTCCTCCTCCTCCTCCTCCTCCTCCTCCTCCTCCTCCTCCTCCTCCTCCTCCTCCTGCTCCTCCTGCTCCTCCTGCTCCTGCTCCGAATCTGCAAGGTGGGCCCTTTCCCAAATTCGTCCTTCGGTGCGGATCGTCTGCGCGCTTCGTCTCCGTCGTCGTCATCGTTGTCGTCGGCGTCGTCGTGGTCGTGGTGCGTGTTGCTCTTTTCGGAACTTGTTTTCCTCATGCAGTGACCATCCCACCCCCACCCTCCCCTCTTCTCAATTCGGTTCTCTCCCTCTATGACTTCCTGTCTCTCTTTCTGTCTGTTTATCTGTCTGTCTGTCTGTCTGTCTGTCTGTCTGTCTGTCTGTCGTTCTGTCTGCCTGTCTGTCTTTCTGTCTGCCTGTCTGTCTGTCTGGCTGTCGGTCTGTCCGTCTGTCTGTCTGTCTGTCTGTCTGTCTGTCGGTCAGTCTGTCTGTCTATGTCTGTCTACCTGTCTCGCTCTCACGTATGATCTGCTCTGCTCTTCTCTTCTATCAGTTTCTCTTCCCGCCATCATTGTATCTCTCTTTGTCTTCCTCGTATACTCTCTCTGTTGCCCCCTCTATATATATATGTTATGATCGTATCATCCCTTCAATCTCAACTTATCGACATGCACGGGGAAACATGTGTTTCTCTCTCTACACATATATATACACATGTATGTGGATGCCTTGTTTGTTTCCCTCTCTCTCTCTTTCTCTCTCTTTATGTTTCTTCCGTATCCTCTTCCTCTCCCACTCCCCTTCCTCTCTCTCTCTCTCTGTCTCTCCCTCTGCCTCTATCACTCTCTCTCTACCTCCCTCTGACTCTCCCCCTCCCCTCCCTCTCTCTCTCTCTCTCAATTGCGTTCTGTTCTGGTGATATGTGAGTCCCGTCAGTGGGGATGACCTCTCAGAGTTCCGGGGGGCACGCCCGGCGATTCGCCAGCGCAGGAGGCCATCGCTCTCTCTCTCTCTCTCTCTTTTTTTTTTTCTCTCTCTCTCTCTCTCTCTCTCTCTCCCCCCCCCCGTCTCTCTCACACTCTCCGTAGCCATCGGGCCAAGAGGTCCCTCGTGTCTCTGTGAGCCCTGGCAACCGCCCCCCCCTCTGCCACCCGCTCACGCGCCTGGCCTGGCGAAACCCGGACGGTCGCTTCGACCCGCGGCCCACCGACGGGGCACCTCGCCCTCCCCCAAAAACCGCTCTCCCCGCCCCGCGGCCGCGCCGCCGGGGCCGGCCGCCGATCGCCACGTGGCGCGCCGCTCCCGCGGCAGGACTCCAGGGCCGCACCCGCAAGACCTATATCTCCGAGGACCACGAGGGCTTCAGGGAGGACCGCGGCCCGGGCGCCCCGGGCCTCCGTGGCCGAGGGCTTCAGGGAGGACCACGGGGGCTCCCGGGAGGACCACGGGGGCTTCAGGGAGGACCGCGAGGGCTTCGGGGAGGAGCACGGTCCTGGCGCCCCTGGTCTCCGTGGCCACGGCATGAGGGAGCACCCTCTCCGACCCACGCCGCACCAGCACCCTGGGGATCCCTCCAGGGGCCTCTGCCAGGCCCCTCCCGCCCACCGCACACTAGACCAGCCGCTGGCCAGCGCTGCCCTGGGCGAGGTGGAATCCCCGGGCGTGTCCTCCATAGACATCGACCAGGCCAGGCCACTTCCTCCTCAAGCAGCCGCTTGCGCCAACCAGCCGCCGACGCTCAGCGTCCCGACCACGACCACTTGCAGACGGTTGAGTCCCAGATGGCGATCTGGACAACCAAGCGCCCATCGGCGCAACCCTTCTTGCGCCGCCGCAAGGAGCTGGCAGGCCAATCGCGGGTTACCGCCGACGGCGACCACGCCTCTCGGCTCCTAATCGAGCCAAGGCCCAGGTCAGTCCGCAGAAGGGCTGCTGCCTATGAGTGGTACCAGGCCTGCCCGCCAAAGGCACTCGCCGAGGTGACACACAGCGATACCGCTCGCTTGAAACGCGGCGTCAACGGCCCGCGCGCCACAGCAAGGCAGCAAGGCACCGCTCGCCGGCACTCGCCGCGCGCCACTGCCCCTGAGGGCCAGGGCCACTCCCGTCCTCCCCCACACGCCGCGGTCGCCACGACCGTCGACCAGCTCACCACCATGCCTAACACTGGCCACCAGTGCGCACTGCCCCGCCAGCAGGCCGCCGCCAGCAGGCCGCCTCCATCTCGGGAGCCCCCCTCCCCGAGGGTTCCGCTCGGGACCGCCACGTCCCCCGCGGACATTGCGCGGCTTCGGCGGTGCTCCACCGCCCCCGCGGTCGGAGCCTCTCCCGGAACCGCCAGGCGCCTCGGTCGCCAAGGCCGATGGCTCTTCCACGCCACACCTCACCCGGGCCCTGCCTGAGCCCACCACAGCTGCCATGGACGGCGTGGTGCACGCCGCCTCCGTTGGTGCAGCACCAGCCCACTGTGCACCATGCGCCTCGGTTGTCGCGACTTCTGGCTTGGCCCGATCCTCGAACCTTGATCCCCGCCCTTACGACGCGGGGCCCGCTCGCTGACGTCGTACCGCCGCCGCTGCCGTCGTCGTCGCCCTCCTTGATATCGCCGTCGTCGTCGTCGTCGCCGCCGCTGCCGTCGCCGCCGTAGCTGTCGCCGTCGCCGTCGCCGTCACCGTCGCTGTCGCCGTAGCCGTCGCCGTCACCGTCGCTGTCGCCGTCGCCGTCGCCATCGCCGCCGCCGCCGTCGCCGTCACCGTCGCTTCCGCCGCCGTCGCCGTCACCGTCGCCGTCGCCGTCGACGTCGTCGTCGTCGTCGTCGCCGTCGAACTCCGCCGCGGCGCGGGGCCCTCTCGTTGATGTCGTACCGCTCTACGGCGTTCGCGAAGTCGCTATGCCCAGCCTCACGCGCCAGCTGCGCGGCCGTCTTGCCCGACCTGTCTGTGGCGCCTCGCCAGGGGGGGCACCCGGGAGGAGGAGGAGTAGGAGGAGGTAGAGGTAGAGGTAGAGGAGGAGGAGGAGGAGGAGGAGGAGGAGGAGGAGGAGGAGGAGGAGGAGGAGGAGGATGGAGGAGGAGGGGGAGGAGGAGGATGAGGAGGAGGAGGGGGAGGAGGAGGGGGAGGAGGAGGAGGAGGAGGAGGAGGAGGAGGAGGCGGGGAGGAGGACGAGGATGACGAGGATGACGAGGAGGGGGAGAAGTTTTCCCACCGCAGACACGTCACTGGCAGCTAACCTCCGCCTCAGTGCGCCGATCTCGAAGATGCCGTGGCCAACGTCGGCCGCCACGCCACCGTCCACAAGCATCGCAAGCTCGCGGAGGAGGAACGAGGGAAAGGAGGAGGAGGAGGCGGAGGAGGAGGAGGAGGAGGAGGAGGAGGAGGAGGAAGAGGAGGAGGAGGAGGACGAGGAGAAGGACGAGGAGAGGATGAGTTGGAAGATGATGATGATGGAGGAGGAGGAGGAGGAGGAGGAGGAGGAGGAGGAGGAGGATGAGGAGGAGGAGGAGGTGAAGGAGGAGCAGGGGCCAGGGGGAGGGAGGGGGCGGCGCCGACAGGGGGCCTCCGAACCTTCAAGGGTTACGCCGCCCTTGGGATCCTCGAGTCGAAACCTCTTCTGGGCCCGCTCTTGGTTCTGCGGGCGGGCCTTCGCCGCCACGCCTGGACCCTACACACGTGCACCGCACCGTCCTCTTCCTTCTTCTCGTTCCCCTCCTCCTCAGCCGACAGGGTGCCTCCAACAACATACTTGTACTACTCAGCTCTTGGCCCTCGAGTCAAAGACGGTGGGGCTCATGCTTTGGTCCTCAGGGCGGGCTCTCGCCGCCGCGCCTGGGGACTTCACGTGCATCTCACCCACCTGCTCCTTTTTTCATTCCCTTCCTCCTCCTCCTCCTCCTCCTCCTCGTCCTCCTCCTCCTCCCCCACCTCCTCCTCCTCCTCCTCCTCCTCCTCCTCCTCCTCCTCCTCCTCCTCCTCCTCCTATTCCTCCTCCTCCTCCTCAGTCGAAAGTGAGCCTGGTAACTCAAATAGCATCCGATTCCATGGGAAGCGGATGGCAAATAGCGTCCATTCCTCTGCTGTGGTGGTTCAGTATGGGGAGTGGGCGGATATGATAGGATAAGATCGATGTATCGGTCTTTCCAGCACATAGCGAACACTAAGGTAAGTGTCCGGGCAAATAGGGCGCGCGTGCCTTGAGCCAAAGGCAACGGCGCGCGAGCTATGCTCCCGATACTATAGCATCTCCCAAAGAGCTACCCTTAAAGTCGGGAGGGGAGGAGACGGAGAGCATAGTCGCACGCAAAGGTCGCGCGCACGACTGTTTGCAAGAAGGAAAACAGTGCGTACAGTCTGGCCTAACACCAGACTGTAAGGCGAGTTTCCTCGCAAAGCATTTCACGCAAATGCAAGATAGCCCCTTCGAACGATGAAGGGCTATCGGCTCAGTTAGAGGTAAGCCAAACAGGCCATACCTCACCAAGCAAATGTGTATTAAGGCAAAGAGCCTGAGTTGTACAAAGCCGGCTCGTTGCCAGGCGTGAAATATATGGCTCGTTTCCGAGCAACTAGAAGGGCGCCTTTGTGGTAGGCGCCCGTGCTGGCAAATTGGACCGCGAGGGCAACAAGGACAGACTAAAATTGATTAGACTTGGGTTTGTCTCTGTCCTCGGGACCCCGAAAGGGAACAAACTGCTTAACGTCATACTTGAACGACTGGGTGCCTGACATCACTTCCAGAAGCAGCTCCCGATCGATGCTTCCCTTTGTATGCCCGTCTGCGGTCATATCCCTAGTATCACACCACTGCACGTTATGTACTATACCTATATCCATAAGCTCACGTATCCAACTGATGTGTCCAAGCAGAGTCCGTTCTGTCGGTATCTTAAGATCCTTGCTTGATAATGATTTATAAACGGACTCAGCGTCTATGGTAAGAGATACTTTGATGGCTAGGCCTCCAACTTCACGCATATCTCGTAGTTGTCGTGGAGTCAGAGCTCCTGCCTTGAGCTCGTGGAGAGTGATGAGCGTAGGGTAACACTCATCGAGGTTATGCGCCGCTGCGAGTGCCTCCGCAGCATAGCTGGACCTCACCTGCAGTCGGTGTGATTTGCATAGTCCGTCACAGAGGTGAACGACGGACTTGCCTTGAGGCGAGCTTCCTCGCCGTAGTACATTCGCCCCGCGTATGCCGTAGCCCTTGGTCTCATCATCCTCCTCCCCGGTAAGCTTCCGATGCCCCGAATCGCTGTGGATGTCAACTTCATTCGTCGGCTTCATCCGAGGGAAGGTGATGCGTTTCGGGCTGCTGATCAGCTTTCGCGTCACAGCATTCAGGCGTCTGACTTGCAGATTGGTGGGCTCTTGGATTTTCTGGAGAGAGACCACGTATACCATGAGCCAGATTTGAGTAAGAAGGGCATAGGCGAGGGCTCCTCGCAAGCTGACGAACATGTCGGTAATGAGTTTCGTGGCTTTGGCATCGGCCGCCGCTCCTGTAAGTTCTGGGTGTGTGATAAGACGTAGTTGTTTGATATACTCGTCCTGATCCATAATCACATCCCCTTGATCATTCTTAGTGTAGCGAACGGCGCAGTTCGTATATGTGTGTTTGTTTAGCTTGCATGTGCCTCACACCTTTTCAACACGCTGGACGTAGTCGTCTATATTTTTCCCTAGGCCAGTCATGTTAATATCATCGACATGTTTTGCCGTTAGCAGATCTTGGCTGAATTCAAATTCAGGGTCATAACTGGTCGGTGTAAGACCCATAGCTCGTGTGGTCGTACGAAGTTTGAGAGAGAACGCTCTTGGAGCATCCTTTGTACCCGTTCCTGGTTTGAGGCATCTGAGGCAGTGTCGGCTTTCGTCATAGGATGAGAAGCCAGGTAGTGTACGAAGTACCTGGGCACTTCCCGGTGGAAGAGTGAAGCAGACCATGCGAGTTTCCTCGCCTGTGGCATGGGCAAGTTCCTCATAGGTCAAGCCCTTGAGGAACGCCTTATCGATATCCATGGATGCTAAGATCCACTCTGGATGGCATGCCGCCTCACTTGCCAGGAGTCTTTGGGACTGCCTTCGGGCGGTTCCCGATTATGTTTCCACATCGAAAGCCTCAGTATCCATAAATCCGCGAAAGACAAGTCTGAGACGAATGGTTTTAACGTTCTCGGTGCCCACCTTTACAAACTTCCACTTGTATACATACCTGGATGTCATGATGTTGGAAGCTTTGGATAGATCATACATCTCAAAGCATCGGTTGTCAATCCAGATTTTGAGCTCAGTATACAAAGCTTCACTAACCTCCTTTGGGTGTGCTGCTATGTCGGCTTTGGTCAATAGATCATCTTCTTTAACGACCACAGCACGTTTAGCAGCAGAGGACACATATACTCTCATCGTTGCGACCATATCGGTGTCGAGCTGTGCAAGTTGAGTCTGATCTAACACTATTTTTGACATTTCTGATGTAAAACATAACTCAACGTAAGGACCAAATTCATCACTGTCAAGAGAGTAGCTCTCGTCAGGTGTGGTTGAGCATAGAGAGACTATACAGGGCTCTCGTGGTTCAGGCTCGTCTCCGAGCGTGACCGATGATATGGTATCTTCTTCGTCCACAGATGTTGAAACCAAAACACATTGGTCAGGCAGCATGGTTGTTGGGACGCAGTAAAGATAATCGTCGGTAGTCGTTGTAGGATGAAGGTCCATACGTAGTTCGTCGTACCACTCTTCCAGCATCATAGCTTCGAAATTATGTTCCTCATTTTCCTCGTAGATTGTCGACAGACGGCCTTCGCTCGGCGATGAAGCACCCGGGGTGTCTGGAGGAGGCCTGTTTCCAGGCGAATCGTGTTCTCCAGACGTGTTGCTTGAGTGCTGATATTTAGCCAGGTCGTCGTGAAATCCTAAGGAAGGGACACGTGAAGTCAAGCATTGAATGAGTCTGGAATGAGTGCTACCAGTAATCTGAGAAATGTTTAGGCCGGTGCCCACACACTCGTAGTAGTGGAAAGCCGGGCTGATATCGTTGTCATAGTGGATCAGCGTAGACCCGGTGGCGTACTTTACTGCAGGTAGGATTGACACACTTTTGGCCAATCTAACTGCCACTACTTGTTCTACTCGGAAGTAGTTTCGTACGAGATACTGTAGTGCTAGATGTACGCGCGGGTGAAACTTGCTGTCGTCTGAAAGATTGAGGTTTCCCTTGTAATCGGGGATATAGCCGAAGACTTTGGCAGGTTTCCCTGCGCCGAGGTGTGCCACATATGTAAGGACGGTTTGCATGGCCATATTATCCATGCCAAGTTCCCGTGCGAGGAGACATTCAATGTATAGTGTGTGTCGAGCATCAGGATACATCACAATTACCTCACGAGATCCTGCCTTGACAACAATATGTCCTCTTTCAGGCACATTACGGATCACCGGGAAGGGGCCATTCCAGCCTCCATGGTCGTCCTTGGTGGCAGTGGGTCGGTGGTAATCGACCAAATCCCCTGCAGAATAAAGGCGAGCACCATCAGGAGTCGTTTTAGCCCTAAGAGCCCGATTTGTCTTGGCCACAGCAGTGGCCTGAGTTATAGCCTCTAGGCTGACTTCCCGTACACGACGTTCTCGTTCGTGTCCTGAAGTCTCGGGTCCCTTGGGAAAGTCAAGGGTATCGAGATCGGGAAGGAAGGAGGGCTGACGTCCTGTGTGTGCTTGGTATGGCGACACTCCGTTATAAAACGTAAAAGCATTAGTAACGAAGATGCCTTCCGCCAATACTCTAGTGAATACAACAGGGATGTTGTGTCTATCCAGTTCTTCCTCAATCATGTGGAGGACGCCTCTGAGGATGCCGTTCCGTGACTCAATTCAAGTCGCGTGTTGGCCAGGTGCTCGGATACGAAGTTCCGTGCCCTTGTTGGCCATCATAGTTTAGCGGCATCGTTA